CCCCCCCCCCGGGGGGGGGGGGGGGAGAGTGCTGCAGACATGCATTGAACTGCACTTACAGCCTTCTTTCTGGACCTTCTGTTAGAATCCAGGATGCTCACTTGCTCTCACTGTAAGCAGTCCAAGGAGTTGGCCCTACAGGAGCATCTGAGCCGATCCAGGATTCCACTCTGCTCTCCTCACGCTGGCTTGCTTTGGTCCCCAGGGCAAATGAGCCATTGACATGCTGGTTGGGACAGGCAGATGTCCGAGTCCAAAGCCTCTGGCCCTGTCCACTGCCTGCTGTTGGGCCAGTTTCCTCAACCAGCACATCCCTTCCCATAAACCGGGCCACCTTGCAGGGACACTTCCGTTTCGTTAGATAGGCTGTATCCCTGTGAAATGCCGTGTTTCATCAGTGTTTGTAGCATCCTAGCAAGCCAGTGGGATTTCTGCTGTGGGTTCAAGCAGGGTGCTGACACAATCCATTTGATGGGAACTAGAGAGAAACCTTGCCAGACCTTGCCAGAAGACATCTTTGCTAGCAATCCCCCACGTTGGCCATTCACTTCTCGTAAGGCGTTGAGGTGGTCCCATCTTGACTGAATGACTTTCCTCTGTTGCTTCACTCCTGTACTTTTTATCAGACCATATAAAAAGTGACTCTTTAAGAAGGAAAAAGCAGGATGGCTTCTTCCGACCTCCTGTGTGCCAAATATTGGGACTAAAACATGGGAGGTGGGAAGTGTTGTCCGTTGCAGCTGGAAGGCAGCAGTTTGGGAAAAGATGGATCAAGTAATAGTCAGACGCGCGTAGGATTAGGTGGCCTCAACCCAAACTGCCATCCTTTTTAAGGAAGTGGTTCATGATGCGACAGTTGTGAGACTTTTGTCATTCATCTTCCTTATAAACATTCTGCCTGGTAAAATGTTAGATTCTTTAGGGTTAGTTGCTGGTCAATGACTGAAATAGAGAAACTTGATTGTAATATTAAGTGTTGTAATAGGCACTAAATGATTCCCCGCCAGTTGTTTGCTTTTTAAAGTAATGAAGTGTTGAAATGAAAGAAAATGTTAGACCTCCCCTGCAGGCCTCGGCGTGTGGCAGCTTCTCGTCTTCGTTCCGATTTAGAGAAGCGTCTCTCTCTGGGGTGGACCCTTGAGCTGAGCCGAGGCAGCTGACGGGGACGGACTGAGTCTCACAAGGTGGCCACGGAATGATGGTGTTGCTTCTGGCCGGAAAGCGCCCTGAGGGCAACCCTGAGTGTGCGAAGGCCCGGGCTCACCCCCTTGAAGTTTTCAGAGAGCAGCTTTATTGTCAGATGGGATCGACCTCCTGGGATGAGCGGCAACGTGCAGAGGAAGCGCCCTGGATGGTGAAAGGCAGGGTAGATAGTCATGAAGATCCAGATGTCTCATATTTCCCAGCATTTTTTTTTCCATTGCAAAGGTTTTCCCCCTTCATTTTAAAGATGCGTTCCAATTTATGTCAAAAAGTGTGATTTGGAGCTCAGTCGTGAATAACACTGGAATTGCTTTTCTGCTGTACATGTTTCCATCCCCCCAAAACCTCCTTTGCTGGCCACAGTTCCCAACCCAAGAAATGCTCCTTTTGGAAGGGAAGTCGGGGCAGTCAGGGAGGCTGTAGCCCCTGGAGAGAGAAGGTGTTTCCCCCTTCCAGCCATCTTGGAACTGAAGTCCAGCAATTGCATCCATGCAAGTGTCACTGAACATTTCTCCTTCTTCGGGAAAATAAGTCAAAAATAATTTATGTTGCATCAAATTGAATGAGAGTGATTGAAAAAGTGCTTTCCAGCATGAATAGGAATTGCAACAGTAATGTTGCATGCCACCAAGCAGTTACTCATACATCTGGGTGAAGCCTGGCGAGGGTGGCCTGTATTTACCCAGTTGTCCTCTTCCCCTCCAGGACCCTCGGAGCAAGCACAAGTTTAAGATCCACACGTACTCCAGCCCCACCTTCTGCGACCACTGCGGTTCCTTGTTGTACGGACTTATCCACCAGGGGATGAAATGCGACAGTAAGTCCCAGCCGTCGAGGCCCAGTCCCAGGGAGGCGGCTCTGTCCCAACGCGCCCTTTCTCACACAGGTCCTTGTGGACGTGTTTTAGCGCATGGGGGCATTGGGGCGGAGGGGCTGCTTGTGGGGGGGACCTGCCTGCCTGAGAGGCTGCAGTTCTGGCATCCCGAGACAGAGGTCAATGAACGGAGAGCCCTGCTTCCTTTGGGGATGCAGGCGGCCCCTTCTGCAAGGCGGGGAGGGGGGCGTGCAAGGAAGCACCCCCCCCCGGTTGCGGGGACGAGGAGGCGTTCTGGGGGTGCAGGGCTATCTGCGTGAGGGGACCCTTTCACAACCCTGTGCGGTCCCTTTATGCAGATGGGGGACTGCGCGTCAGCCTTCTTCTCGCCTGCGCTGGCTGTGTGGGGCAAGGCCGCCCGTCAGGGATAACTGCCAGCGCCCCCCTGTCCCAGCTCATCTCTCTGGGCCTTAAAAGGGCTCGTGGTCTCTCTGAATTAAAGGCGAGCTGGGGCTGGAGGGGGGGAGGCTGAAAGCTCCCCGGGTGGGAGGCGAAGGAGAGGCCAGCAGTGGCAGGCGGTGATCTTGGGGAGGCCCCTAGTGGCCACCCTGTGAAGCGCAGCGACCGAGCAAATGGGCTCCCTCCAGGCATCTGGATCCAAAGCCGGGAGGACCCTTCGGAAGGGGTGTGGGCACATTTGCCAGCGGCCTCCGAGAGAAGGCACATCTTTTCCTGGTAGCTGCATGAATCCAGGAAAATACATGTTTGAGTTAAGGATGCCCTGTCACCGCCTCCTTAAAGCTTGTTTTCCGGTAATCTTCCTGTTCCCATTGGAACTGGGCGTCGGGAGGAGAGACATTCAGGAACCCGAGGACAGGGTGGGGGAGAAAACGGCTGCACCCCTGGAATTCCCCCAGGCTTTTATGAAGTCCTAGCAGTCCTGTAAGGAGAAGAACCCTGGTTAATGTTTGAAGAAGCAGCTGCTCTGTGGTGATGCTCTTAAAGAGCACTCTGTTAGGGGTGCAGTCTGTGTGTGACAGTGTGTGGCCTCCTCTCCCCCCCACTGACAGGATTTGTTCTCCCATGTCCCTGGGAAAGAGAGATTTTGGGAAAACGGTCAGAAGGAAATGCAGTGAGACAGAAGTACCTACAGCCCTTTGAGGGGCTCCAGATTTAAAGAGCATTTTCCCAGAGTGCCAGATTATCATGGTAGAATCATAGGTTGGAAGGGACCTTGGAAGTCTTATGGAAGGTCTAGTTCAGCCCCCTGCCCAGGGCAGGAACCCCCAGACCATTCCAGAGATTGGCTGTCCAATCTTCGGTTAAGAATCTCCAGTGATGGAGCCCCAGTGACTCCAGGAGGCTTAAACAGCCCTCAGAGTCATGAAATTATTTTGATTTCATGTCTCTTATTTTGGATTTGAACGTCTCTTGTCAATCTTCTACGTGCTGGTTTTTGTCCTGCCGCACCTGCTTCCCTGTGGCGGCCCTTCTCTTAACACCAGAGCGCCCTCCCGGCTCCCCCCC